CTGAAGTAGACGCACCTGCGTGGACTAAGGTGCAGTGCGCTGGCCCAGAGCTTGGGGTATATGACATGGCCACGAAATTCCTGGGTGCCTGTGGCTAAGTCAGTCTACCATGCACCTGAGTACCCTGTTTGTAAAAATGTAGGTAATATTACCCCTTACAGAGCTGTTGTGAGGATAATGTTACAGGTTAGGATGTATATATTCCAGTAGGGCTAAGCCATATATGAATAGAGAGAAAGGTATATATTATGCTCATGCACCAATTTCAATAAACTGCGTAGGAGGATAAATAAATAGCTGAGAGCACGGGACAGAGTAGAAGCAGCAGTTTGAAAGGTTTATACTCTCTAAAAGGAGGGATTGAGGGATACAAAAGACCTCCTTCCCCCTAATGAGGAAGCAAGGAAGCTCCTGAAGATTGCTGTAAGCCAGTTGTCCTGCAGTATACTTCAAATGCTACAAAATTACGAGAATCGCGGAGTACCAAAAAATCCTATGTGCTTCCCCCGCAAGATCCCAGCCAATTTCCTGTCTCAGGGGGCAAAGAACTTAACGCTCTCGTTGTGGCAGTCACTGACACAAGCAGGATTTTATTAATTACCTTCAGCAATGTGGTGTTTAAAGTGTTTGCTGAAATCTGTACTGTTCAATAAAGCAACTGTGGTTCTGTTTCAAAATGTATTTTCACATTTTTTAATAAATTTAAACATGCATCTGAATATGGTGGGTGAACAGATGTCTCAGGAAAGGCACTGTGTATTTGTATAGTGCTTGGTGCGGTGGGTCTCTTTTTAATAATTTGGACATTGTCACAGTACAAACCCATTGTTTGGCACAGTTAAAGGACATGCTATGGGAGAATGAAGCATAGTGGCAGTTAGCAGGTTGTGTAGGCTTGCTCTGTGTGTGTATGTCAGAATTAACATCTGAGTTAAGTAGCTGAAGTTTAAATACCAGTTGCCCACACTTGACACCCCACATGTGTTTCTAAAAAGAAATAAATAATAATAATTGGAGGGGAAGGAGGGTGGTGATGGATTCTGACTTTTGGAGAGTGAGAGTGCGTGGTTCTTAAGGGACAAGCCATCGTGCTTATGGATGCCTGCAGAAGAATGAATGGGGGAAGGAATGACAAGGAAAGAGGAGAATAAAGGACATGAAAGAAGAATGAGGGTAGTGAAGGGATAAAAACTGAGGAAAGGAAAGATGAAGGTAGGTAGAGAGACTCTTAACTTGTGGTAAGAAATGAAAGCAAGGTAAGAAAAGGAAGGGGTGGGAAAAACCTCAATGAGAGTCCTGCGCCAATGATTTTTGGGGTAATTGTACTGTGACAGGAATGAGTGGGGCATGGTGGGGCTGCACGTGGATCTGTGCAGAGGGACACAATTGCATCGATGCCAGCCTACACTTTGGGCCAAGCTGCTGGCCCTGCTAGCACTTTCTTTGCTGTACATCACCATCCTCCTCTTCCTCTCTTGCTGCTATGCCATTTGTCTTGAAAGAGGCCGTCGCTTTTCTTTATTTTTCTGTCAGATTGTTGCCTATCTGGGACAGAGTGACTGCCCTTCACTGCCCTCTTCTCTAGTGATCAAGGATGCCTGTAGGGTATTTTTTCTTTACTATGATCCATTTCAGAATCTGAGAATTATTTGGGTATTTTAGAATATATAGTATTTAGTCATGAAAAATTTAGATGCCTCTTACAAAAAGAAGAAAGAGCAAATGAATTGTAAAAGAAAAAGGAGAAATTAATGAGAAAACGAAACTACGTAAATAACATGAATGTTTTTAGAAAGATTGGGGGAAAGTGTGTTATGTTAGTAAGAAAGAGGAAATGGAAACTTAGATATTTTTTTCTTTTTTTTTTTTAATGGGACAATTAGGGTGGTGATGTCTGATAGCCAGCACAGCAGAGGCCAAGCAATTTCAGCAAGTGTTCTGAACCACTGTGGTAAATTCTGTGATTCAGAGCATCACCTTTTTTTTCATTTTTTTTTTTTTTTTTTTTTGAAGGGTAGACGAGAGCTTTTGAGTTAAGCTGCAGATAGTAGAAAACTTGCCTATACTTAGATATACTATATATCATACAAACAGTTTGTCACTCAGTTAAAATTTGCTTAGCTGCAGCTTTATCTTGTTATGCTTTTTGTTCTTGCCAAACTCTCTCTGGATTGTAATTTTTAACATTGTACGCAGCTTCTTTCCACTTTTAGTTGACTAGATTAAGCATCTGTATAACAGTTCTGATTATAAAGTCACTGTACTGTCAATTTTTTCATTTTCTCCCAATTTATTGACGAAACAATTAGATTTGCAGAGTGAAACATTTTGCTGGGGTTTTAGGAAATCATTTTGCTGGTTTTAACAGGGAAGGAATTCAAATGACAGGGGTTTGTCTCAGCAGTCCCCGTGGAAACCTGCCCAGCTAATGAACCTCTGGAAGATCATTGCTCTTACGTGCTTGACTGGTAAATGATCCGCCGATGGTGTCTGCGCTAAGTGTCTGCTAGGCCAGAGCCAGAGCTGGATAACGCCTCTCTCTGCGCTGCCCAGAGCCGGCGGGAGCAGAGCGCTCTGCCGGTACCGAGGCAGGGGAGCCGCTGGCCTGGCTGAGGGGCTGGCGCTGAGGGGAGGAGGCCCTGGGAAGAGAGGGTGTCTGAAGGACGGATGGCCCGGGATGAAAAGACGAGACCAGGCACGTAGAGGCAAAGGGAGGACAGAGGCTTTCCAGACGAGGGCACGCGCTGGCATTAGTGACAGGTGATGGCAGATTTTTACAGTAATGGCTGTAAAAACTAGAGCACGGTCCCTTTCAGGTTCTGTAGCAGAAGCAAATTCCTGCCCGAGTTTTTCCTGCTGCTAGAATGCCACTGTGCAACATGGCCGTAACCTCTGTGGGGTTGTTCTGCCCGGAGAATAGCATCCTACTGTTTTTTGTGCTAGCTCAGGTGCTCACTCTATCTAAAAGGTTTCTAGCCCTGCTGAGGGAAAACTGACTATACCCGGCGGAATTTGTGCTTTTACCGACTTTCCTTTTTAGAAGAGAAAAAGAAATTACATTAATCTTTTTTTTAAAACTGCAAAGTCAAGAATTTAGAAGTCATGATCTTCCAGGATTAATAAACTCCTTATAAATTTGACATACTGTGTGCAGTGCAAGAACAGGTACTCTTTTCCTCTAGAGGACACCTGTCTTGTCTTCTGCAGGGGATGCTTCGGAGAGGAATGAAAAGTAGCATGCTGCAGTACGGTCCATGTTTCATTTGCTGTACAAATTGAAAGGTTTAGTGTTGACGAGGCTGGAGATTGCAGGAAGGAAAAAAGGCATGGTCTTGAGAGTCCCAAGCTAGACTTATCCCTGCCATAAGTTTCCTATGTAAGCAATGATAATTTTCATCATTGTGTCCCCGTTGTCTTCTGAGATGCTTTTTTGAGCTGTAGGGATGTAACCTGGTAGTTGGCTGCTTGAACCCTGTGTGAAGTCTGTCATGCTGGACAAACGTGGTAGTATCAAATTTAGGAATGTGCAGACAGCCTTAATTTTGCTGCTTACTAATTTTTTGAGAATTTGATTTTGCACTGTTAACTGTCCTTGAATGCAGGGGGGGAATGTGTATGTGCTGTGCGATTATGTATCTGGGTACTTAAGGACCCTACTATCTGAGCATTTCTCAGATATTTAAATTAGAAATGGCAACAGAAATCTATTGAAGCAATAGCTTGATTACTTATATGGATTCTGTATGTAGCTTACTATATTCTGTTTGTGTGAAAAAATAAGTGTCTCAGAACAGTGTCTGAGCACAGTGAAGCCCACAGTTGTTTTTACCTCTTATAAGAGTACTTGTCTGTGTAGTACTAGTTAAAGCCTGCCTTTTGCATACAGACCTTCTCTGCTGGCTGATTGCTTTTCAGGGAAACATCTCTACTGTAGAAACATGTGGCAACGAAAATAGAGACAGCTGCCGGGACTGAAGAATTAGACAGTTTTGATGATGGGTAGACACACCTTCATTTACACTCTCTATGTTTTGGAGAGTGGGTTCAGGAAGCAGGCATGCTTATGTTGTATTTCTGAAGAGCTTTTCCCCCCACCTTTTTTTTTTAAACCTGCAATAGATTTTTTTTTTTTTATTAGGTATAAAGGTGACAACAATCAAGCTTGGACTTCAGGTTAATGCAGTGACACTAGATCTCAGTTTCATTAGACAGGCATGGAAAAATAAGAGTTGTTTTGATCAGCTTTGTCAGTTGAGCATCTGGTGATGCCTAGGGGGTGAGTAGCATAGTGCCTTGAAAATTAATTGACTATCAACTTCACATTGCTCATTCAGAGCCCTACAAACATTTATTATGCACAGTGTATAGCATCATTCCAGGTGTTGGACAGACCACACTGAGATTACAGTGCAGAAGGCAGAACAAGGAACACGTGACAGAGGGTTAAGACTGCTGTTCACTGCTCCCTGTCCTGTCTCAGACTTGCTCTTTGGCTCTGCACAAAGTGTCTCCTGTCCCCTGTATGTAAAATTGATGCCCTAAAATGGACTCACTTTCTAGTGAATTAGCATTTGATCAACTTTAATTTTGACATCCTTGTGTAGAAATAACTAAATGGCATTGTTTACCAGCTGTTGTACTATTTTTTTCATTACTGAATGGAGTTCTTAGATGGATAGGTTGTATTATAATGACCGACTTCATTACAGATTTTGGTTTTCTGCTTTCTTAATGTAGGCCTTTCTGCATGGCAGCAGTTTTCTGTTAACCAGTATGTATTATAGAACTATGCTCCTGGATTATATATATCAAGTTCTTATAGTCTGTCTCCTTTGGAGTTGACAACAAATGGAGGCACACTAACGTGCACCATGAAAGGATGTTGGGAATTGCTGGACTGGTGTATGTGTTGTTACCAGTCAAGTTAGCTTTATTCCTGCCTTGGCATCATGGACAGGAACCTGACTTCTCCATATATCCTCCTTTCCCTGCAGGTATTGAGAACCTGCCGTTTGAATTGCAGAGAAACTTCCAGCTCATGCGAGATCTGGATCAGAGGACGGAAGGTGAGAATTAGAGATGGTTTCATTGACGAGACAGGCAACATGCCGCTTGACCAGCTTTTCTTTCCTTTGTCTTTATCACGGGGATCTCAGGGCAGGGGAGGAAGCCTGCAGCTGCTCTGATCCTTCAGTCTCTCTTAATGGAGGGCACTGTAGGGTGTGTGTATGCACGTGTATTTATGTATCTCATGGTAAACTTGTTTCAGACCTCAAGTCAGAGATCGATAAGTTGGCCACGGAGTATATCAGCAATGCACGGACTTTGTCTTCCGAGGAAAAACTGGGGCTTCTCAAGCAAATCCAGGAAGCCTATGGGAAATGCAAGGAGTTTGGCGACGACAAGGTTCAGCTGGCTATGCAGACCTACGAGATGGTATGAAGGGAAGTGTCTAGTCCTTATTGTATGAAAGACTGTACTAAAGCCCCCAAGCCTGGAAGGCCCTGATCTCTCTAGGCCCTACCCACTCTTGCTTCTCAGCTCTTAGTGCAAGCCCCGTGCCCTGTCCTCTTTGCCCTCTTGGGCTCTGTTCTGTGGTAACTCCTGGTCACTATCGTCTTTGCAGGTCGATAAACACATCCGGCGGCTGGACACAGACCTCGCTCGCTTTGAAGCAGACCTGAAGGAGAAGCAGATAGAGTCGAGTGACTATGACAGTTCTTCCAGCAAGGGCAAGAAGAGTGAGTACCACCACTGGGCTGCAGATTGATACAGGAGGCAGCCAAGTGACTATGGAAGTGGTGGGGATGAAGGCAGGCACTGGAGTGGTACAGATCAAAGACTGTTACGCTGGAATCTGAAGGACAGGTAAAATGATGGTGACCTGGGCTCTTACTGTGTGAGCATATTCAAGGCCGCTAGATAAAATTAAGATGTGGTGCATGGCCCAAAGCCAATATACGCTCTGAAGTAGGAGTGTATTTTAGTGCTGGAGAGGTTGTTACTATCAGGTGTCTATTTTGATGGGATGGCAGATGCAACACCTTTCTCTCTTCTTACCAGAGGGCCGAGCTCAAAAAGAGAAGAAAGCTGCCCGTGCTCGCTCTAAAGGGAAGAACTCTGATGAGGAGGCACCAAAAACTGCCCAAAAGAAATTGAAGCTTGTCCGCACGTAAGTGTTTAAGAGATTTATGGGCATGAAGAGCATCACTGCAAATCAGACCAAGGGAGGCCTAGCCAGACTTAGCTGCGAAGAATCTGATCCCCACCCAGACCAGATGGTGTGTCCCCTGTCCCTTCTTGGGAAGCAAGAGGAAGAAGACCTTTTAATTCTTTCAGGGGAGTGTGGCCTGAAGCGGAAAGCAGGCCACTTCAGTGGAGTTGGGTGTATGTGCTTAAAAAAAGAGAAGTGGCTGTCTCTGGCAAACAAGGGCATTGTCTTGGGAGACATGAAGGGACTCAAAGCCAGTTATTTTGCTGACCTGCTTTATTCCTGTCCTGCAGTAGCACAGAGTATGGGATGCCTTCAGTCACCTTTGGAAATGTGCACCCTTCAGATGTATTGGATATGCCCGTGGACCCCAATGAGCCTACTTACTGCCTCTGCCACCAGGTCTCCTATGGGGAAATGATTGGCTGCGACAACCCAGATGTAAGAGCCTGCACTTGATGGAAATGGGGGAGAAGGGAGTGGGAGTCTTGCATGGAAAGTCTTGTCCTGCTTGGGTGGGGCCTGATACAGCCAGCGGTCACAAGAAGAGGGCTTACCTCAGGTCGTTTGGAAGGGCAGAGGGGTGGCTTGCTAGGGCCTCGTAAGTGCATCTTTCTTTGGGGTTTTCCTTAAAATGACAAGTTGTTTTCTTGCCCCCACACTTAGCAAGGGAGGAGGGGAGTTCTCCTTGCTAATAATGTGTAGGTTGGGTGTGAGTCTTCATTCCCTGATCGCTGCTAGAGATTTAGGAGTTTGTGATCAAATGTTGGGAAGCTTTGGTAGCCCAGAAGTAATGATTTCAAAAGAAAACTGCACTTTAACTGACTACTCTCCATCCCAACAGTGTTCCATTGAATGGTTTCATTTTGCCTGTGTGGGTCTGACAACAAAACCAAGAGGAAAATGGTGAGTGAATAAGCAACGTGGAGGGCCCATTGGTCTTTGGAAAGGGGAGGTTCTGGCTGGCAGAAGGGAGAGTGCTGTATATACACACTTAGAACACCTATTGAAAAGGAAAATTTGACTTAAGGCTTTGTCTGGGACCTTGGAAAAGGTTGTTTGGGACTGTACATTCGAGGTTCATATCATGCCCTAAATTCTGGCTTTTTACTTCCCTTTCTACCAGGTTCTGCCCTCGCTGTTCCCAGGAGAGGAAGAAGAAGTAAAAGCCCGTGAGCCCTCAGTACTGCTGCAGGAGCTCTCTTCCCCCTGCCAGGGCCTCGTCCCAGCTCCCCCAGCCCTTGGGGCCTTGGCTGGGGGGAGTCTTGCCCTGTTTGTGGTTTGGGCCATCCCTGGAATGGTGTGTACCCTCACGGTGGTTCCTGTGTGTTCTGTATCCCTGGTTGCTTCCGAATCCCTAAGGGAGACCCTCTCTGTGTACTGTTCCAAACAGGTCTCTGAACCTCAAAGGGAATGAATGAGGGCACCAGGGTAGCCACCAGATTTCCAGGGATTCAGGTAGCCCCTGATTTTCCTTGGCTTTCCTTCAGCCTCCTCAGAGTTCATTGCCTACTCTCTGCTTAGAGAACAAGGCTATGGGATGGGGGAAGGAAAGGAGGTAAGTCTTCAGCATTTTAGGTCTTTGATTTTCCTGGATCTTTTTCAGGAGAGAGGGAGTAACCAGGCCACTTCTTAATCTAGTGGGCTGGCTGAGAGACTGAAAACCTAATATACTCCCTATCTTTAACCATTCCACTACTGGCATTGAGCAGCCTCTTTTGCTGGGGAGAGGAGGAGGAGGAGGAGGGAGGAGTGTTTAGAGCTAGCTTTGTCTCTCTTATTCCTGGGGTAAACCTGCTGGTCTGGGAAGCACATTGTGTGAAGGAGGAAGAATTTCTGACCACATGGGGAGAAATGGCTTGATCTAGCCTATCTTCTGGCTCTAAAATTCGCCCTTCCTTTTGTGCAGTGGGGCTTCTCCATTATGTTGATGATGGGAAGTTTGGGGATTCAGATCCCACTTGTATAATACAGAATTAAATAAAGTTCATTGAAACAAATAGTCTGTTTGCCTTGCTGTCACCTTGAAAGTAAACTGCAGCAATTGGTCTCTTCAGTTATTCTTTCTCTCTCAGTTCTGCTTTTATTCTAAATGATGAATGTGGTACAGCTTTTTCATGTAACAATCCTGAAAAGTGTTAATAAGTGAGATTCTGCCTAAGTCAGGCTTGAAAATATACCTGATACACTTGCAACAGGTTACTAAGCTTTCTAGTAGCTGTGAAAAATATCTGCCCCTTCAGTCGTGCCCTCACAAGAGGGTGGACATTTATTCACATTTTTGTTGGATTGTTTACTTCATCAGTTCTCCTCTCTCAAATGAGGAGAGGTGGAGATTATGGAAGGCCAGCCATCACTGTGGCTCTTGGGCAGCACAGCTGAGAACATCGGCCATCAGGACAAACCACATGCATCCAAGAATGTGGATAGGTTTTGCAGATATCCTGATAACTTGCTCCCCAGTGGGTTGCTTTCACCTTGGATCACCTTGTTGCCAGCAACTCCAGCTGCTGTTACTAAGATAACGTTAGGCTCCAAAACAATTACTGGAGACGCATTACTCTTCATGGTGTCTGCAGGTAACTGTGAGGAGGTGATCCATACTGAAGCTGCCCTTTATCTGTTCCATTGGCATGACCCTGGAGACCGATGAGTTTGAGTCTCTTCTTCCTCTTGTTCTCTGCTATTCAGGAGGATTTAAGCTTTTCACGTGAAACATGAAATATTTTCCTCACATAGATAACTTGTATGAGGATCAATGGAGCTTATTGGTTCTTGTAGTCATGAAGCCAAAGCTCTTCTAGGGGTTCATTAAAACCATTCAGAGGACTCTCTGGGTGGAGAGCAATGCTACTGTCACCTTGTAATTGTACAGGGACCCTGTCAAAGCCATCAGCTCAGAAGCTGGTGTTAAGTCTTCTGTTAAAGCGAGTTAGCATTGAGTCGGTCTTTGCTTTTGCTTCGAGAAGGGGTGCTCAGGTTCCCATTTTGCACAGGGAAAAAACAGAGATAAGTTCTTACCCAGACTATGGCTCATACGGTTTGTGGTACCACTGCCACAGTCTGGATGTCAGTCCCCAGGTTATTTTAAACCATTTTCCTGGGGCTTCCCTCCTTAGAGGAAGTAAATCCTGGAAGATGTTGGTTGTGTATGTGGTATAGTCTTCATAACAGGAGATGCTGTGCCATCCAGTGGGCGGGAAGGCTGTGGCAGGAGAACAGATTTCTTCATCTGGGGCTTATCTAGATAACAGCTGTGGGTGCTCAACTAACAGAACAAAGGGAGGATGTGGTCTGAACTTGAAAATGGGCTTTGGGCAAAGTGCAAGGGTGACAAAGGATGCAAATGCTCCTCCTCTCAGTGGTTTGGATAGGACACTGGATTGTAACGGCCACCATTAGCAGCAAGCTTTCTAGGAACTGTGGGCTAGAGAGGTGTTTGAAGTGGTGGCCTTGTAATGAAGGCACTGCTGATGAAGGATAACAATTAGTTTATAAACGCATGTGGTGTAATGTGAAAGTAGTGTGAGTGGGCAGGGGTGCGTTGCACAGCAAACCAGGAAACAAGATGGCCTGTTGCTTAGGTGCTGCTTACTGCACAGGCATAACTGTTCAGGGCAGCTCTGGTTTGGGAAACACAAGTGTCAGGTCTTCTGTGGTCAGTGTAGGATACTGAGAGGGGGAGGTAGACCGGAATACTCCTGTTTTCAGGCTAAAGCTTGGGCACAGGGTTACCACTGTGCTTCTTGGGACTCTGAGAATTGGAACATCCTGATGACTTTTAATGCAAAACACAAGAAACGCCTAGGCTGGGTTCTGATTCAGTGCCAGAAAATGTCAGAGAGTGCTAGGCAGGAAGCTCCACTTACCCCCTGGTCCTGCTGCTGCATCCTGTTTCTGTCCGATGAAGGGGTGCTTCAGCCAGCAGCGTGGAGCATTCGGCAGATGGTGGCAGCTGAGGGAATGCTCTGAAGAAGACTTACAGGAAGAGGGAATTTGTACAAAAATATGGATGAAAAGTGAGAAATTTTAAATGGCTTACAAGTAAAAAGGCAAATGAAAGGACATTTAAAACTAACCTTGGAAGAGAGGGAGTAAGGGCAGTAACTGTGCAATATTTAATCACCAAAGGGGGGAAATAATCAAATCAATAGAAGCTAGAAATTACAATGTACAAAAATTAAGCCAGTGGGGAAAAAAGCCTGTAAGCGACAAGGCTAGAAACATAAGCAGCTTTTTTTAGAATGCCTTTTGTTTTTGATATAATTGAACATGGCACATGTCCATTACCAACTGCGGATAGCAGAATTGTTTGTAATGAGAGGAGGGGGAAGTGTTCTGTAAATATTTATTCTGTGTTGGTGCTGGTGTCATATGGGAATGATGTACTTCCTAGGCAAACACTAAGGAGGATTTTAAATAGCATCTATTGGGGCGAACGCTTTTTTGATCAGCAGTCTTCAGTAAATGCTGTTTGTCATCCTGTGAAAGCCACCTGAAGGCATCTGTGGTCTGCTCTCTGTCAGTCTCTGTCCTGCTAGGAAAAGCCTAAAAGGCTGGAAAAGAGCCAGCTCTGTGCTGGTCCTTAATGAGGTCAAGAAGGCTGCTGTAGCAATGTAGATGTGAAACACTGAAACAGCGGATAAGTAAATTACTTCTCTTTAAAATAAGCAAGAAATCCAGTTCAACAAAATAAAATCAGTTTGACTGGAAGTAGCAAAAAAGGTCAGTCAAAAATTACTTGATTGGATCTTGGATCTTTTTTTTTTTTTTTTAAAATCACTGTTAATAGTTACCTGTATCACTGTAGTGGTAATGGGATCTAAAAAGTTTACTTCACCTAGAATTGAAGTGCTTAAAAAGGGAATACACTAAGTTAAAGTAATCATGAACTCCTTTAAAGAACTGGCTAGCTTGCAGATTTCCTGGAACAGCTGTCAGTGCAACATAAACACTTTCTAAAATGGAGCTGGAGAAATTGCCCTTTTAAAGTGATTGGAAATAGACTCAACTTTACTCACCAACTAGGTTGAGTTTCAGGAAGCGGGAACCGTACAGCATGACAAGAGGGAAGACTTTTGCCAGCCTCTTTAAGCCCATTTATTAATAATAATTGGTCATGCACACAAGTATCTTGTCCAGCTGTGATTGCCCCAACTGTGGGCATCATTCCTTGGTAGGTGGGCAAGAGTGGTTGATGAGGCTGTTCAGCGAAGTATTCCCCTTTCTAGCAAGCAGATGCGCTCAGCAAGCTCCCGTCCCCCGGGCTCTGCTACCGCTGTGTCCGCTGCATTATGTGCACAGAAACCATCCCAGCTATGACCATTGCCTTCCACCAGTGGGACCTTCTTCATGTTTCACACATAGCAAGCGGTTGAACGGACCCTATAGCTCGGCAACATTCAGCCTCTAATTAAGCGCTCTTAAGGTATTCTTTACCTAACTACACATTCAGAGCCATGTGGTAGACAGTCTTTTACTGCCTGTTATGTGTAAGGCTTCTGTGCTTAAGTGGACTATTTGAGGCTCAATTGTAGAGTGTGTTTCTGTGATATTCAGATTATTGGGGATGAATTCTTACAAGACAATTACTGCATATAAATACATATATCTTAATTGGAAACGCTGATTGGAAGGTACCCCTGGAGGTCATCTGGTCCAGCTTCCCCTTCAAAGCAGGGCTGCTGTTGGTCCTAAATCAGGTCAGATATGTGCTGGGTAGCAAGATGCTTCGTAGCAGAGCAAGCTAAGGTAAGAAGCAGCAGTTGCATGGCTCCAGGTGAAAGGTGATGTTGCTGAAGATCTTAAGGCTCGATTCAAATGCTGGCCAAATCAGTCCAGAGATCTCAAGTTGGCAGCGGAGAAGAAAAACATTCCCAAGAGATAACTTGCTTATACTGGCTGAAAAGAAGACCAGGTCCTCCCAGGATGTTTCTCATTGCAGATATGCAGATACACATTGTCAAGAACTGGTAATTACAGATGACAGCAGGATTGCTCCCTTCTGACGTCTACAGAGAAATGGGTGGCACTTCCCCCGAGTCCCAGAAAGGAGCAATACGAAGGGTATCTAGTTATTCTCTTGACTAAGTGAAGCTTCAGGCAAAGTGCAGCAGGATGTTGATGTGACTGAGCCCAGACCATGATGCAACCATGGTGAAGAGTCTTGCACGAACTGGCAACGGGAGCGCTGATGTTTCATTTCTCCTGCAGCAGGGCAAGGCACGGTGGTCACGTACCGAGTGCTTGTCAGTCAATCATTTAACATAGTGTGATTACCCAAACTTCTGAATGAGCTTAGGCTGAGGGCCCTGCACAAAGCAGACCTGGCTGGTTTGACAGTTTCTGAGCCATTGTCCTTTGTATAACCAACCATGGCTCTACTTTTTCCTGTCACATGAACCAGGAGGACAAACTGTGGAGATGTTGACAAGCTGAGTGGCAACACCTGCAGAATGTACGATCCCTGGCTGCTCTAAAGCAGCGGCAGCAAGCAAGGAAGACTGGAGCATTTAAAGTTTTAAAGACTAATAGAGGAAACAAAATGTCCTATCATTCTTTTCAAAGACAACTGAAGGAAGTTTCTCCAGCTCTGTTGCCTAGTAGTTACAGTATCAGAAGAAACATAGCTGTTTTTATCAAATAAAATGTATTTCATCTATAAAAATAGTCAAACATATTGATTAATTTATGCTAATTTATGTTTATTCTTCTGAATACATAAAAGAAATGTAAGTCTTAGTTTAAAAAAGACTTTTTGCCCAAGTCTTAAGGCCAGGCAAACCTGCGACAAACACTAAGCTCCTAAAGCCTACTGTGAAAAAATGCTCAGCAAGTTGCCTGCTTTGGTCTGTTTTTGCAAATCTACAATTTAATTTCAGTGGTTTGGGTTGCTGCCATTGAGGGAATAACACATTCAAAGCTGAAAACCGGGCTGGGAGGAGAAAAGGCTGGAATTATTTTTTACACATCGACAACAAGGAAGAAAAAAAAGTGTGAG